GCTACACCACAAGCTCGACAACGCTTAATCCCACCGACTCGTCCAATGTCAGTCGTTTTTCGTCAAACGCATCCACGAACCCGAGGGATAACGCCTCATCTACGTTCGACTACGACGACGATGACGACGACCCTGAAGGCACTGCCGGTGTATTAGCCATGCAGCAAGCGGAGATGGACGACCGCAGATTCAGCACCGCAGCAGGAGGGCCCGGTCCGTACCCGTACACCGAGCCAGTTCCTGTCAGTGCTGTCAGCACGATGAACACCCTCCCACCGCCTGCGGAAGAACAAAGCAGTGATACCGACTATGGTGGAATGGATCTTGGCTTGTTCAGCGGTGGATATGCCGGTAATCTTGCGTATGGAAACAGCGTTGCTTCTCCGCCTGCAGACCAGGATGAAAATACCCAGAGGCCGCTGCCAGACCCGACGACCTATCCTCAGCCCTCTTATGATGCCTACGAGGGCGCACCGGCTTTCAAAGACGCTGTCGTGGATTATGGTGACACTGGCGGCTTGCAGCCGCCCACCGCTCACCGACTAAGCTTTGACGAAGGCGATGAGCGTGTATCCCTGCATTCTAGACAGAGCACCAACGACTCGCCCAACAAAGAGGAATATCCTGACATTTTCTATCATCCTGGTCTCACGAATCGACCGCTGCCAGCTCTTCCTCCGGCCCCAAGTAGCGACAGCGGTTCTATGCTCTCCCCCCAAGGATCGGTCAGCCACCGACATTCTCATGGGCATTCACTCAGCGTCGATTCACGCCACATGTACCCGCCAGAAGGGCCCGAGGCTTACTATGGAGCTTCAGGCTCGGCATCTCCCTATCCGGAACGGTCCATCTCCTTATCGAGCCATAGCAACACACCTCAGGTTCATGCTCCCGCGCGCTCGCGCACTGATGCGGCCGAGGAGCGGCGCAAGTTGGTCAAGCAGATGACGCAGCAGCAGCAGCAGCAGTACTTGACGGCGAACCACGGCAATCCCCAAGAGGGCTACGAGTCAGGGACGCCGTCATCCATGACATTTGACATGATCACGCTGCCAAGTGGAAGGCGGAGAAAGTTCGTGCCCGGGAAGCTCACTGCTACAGATTTCGGAATATGCACCGAGCCTTGGGCCCTCAGCGGCATCGCTGCATGGATTCGCGAGATGGCTGATGGGGAGCCTGATCTCAAGCAGAAAACGGTTGAAGAAGCTCTTGTCGCCCTGTTCACTGTCAAGGTGCCGACCATTAACGTGGCCGACGCCGAGGTGCTGTCAACAACAGTCGTGGAATTGCTGCTGGAGGCGCAAATCCTGATCCCCGAGGAAGAATGGGTCAAATTTGGGCCAGGTACCGTTTCTGGCGTGTTATGGCAACTGACTGGGTCTGGCTGTTACGCCTCAAAGCTTCACGAGAACGAGGCGCCCGGTCGCTGTTACTCCTATCACTGCATGAGGACGCTGAAGAAGGCGAATCTCGACGACCTCATGCTGGATGAAACGAAGGTTGAGGGGTGGGCCGAATTCTTCAAGGTCACCAAAGAAATGGTCGAGGGTAAGCCGAAGAAGGAGGTTGAGCGACAAAACGTACTGCACGAGATTGTCACCAGCGAGGAAACCTACATGAACCAACTAGAGGTCTTGCGGGTTCTCTACAGGGATCAGATCCAGCACGCGCCGAGCCCCATCATTGCGCCCAATCGCGTCGATAAGTTCGTTGCTGTGGTCTTTGGTAAGGTTGACGCTGTGCTCGACGCCAACAAGGAGAACCTGCTGGCGCAGCTCAAATACCGGCAGCAAGAGCAGGGCCCTTGGATCGTGGGCTTCAGCGACCTGTTCCGCGAGTGGATCCGCAAAGCTCGCGACGTCTACATCGACTACGCCTCTCAGTATCCGCATGCTTCATACCTTGTGCGCAGGGAAAAGGATCGCAACATCATCTTTGCCAAGTTTCTGGACGAAGTGCGCGGCCACAAACGCTCAACCAGGCTAGACTGGACTCATTTCCTCAAGACACCCATCACGCGGTTGCAACGTTACACGTTCTTGCTACAAACCGTTGAAAAGAACATGCTTGTCGACAGCGAGGAGAAGGCAAACCTAGCGAAAGCCATTTCGGAAATCCACAATGTCACGCTCGAATGTGACCAGAAGGTGGCAGAGATGCAGAAGAAGGTTGAGATGATGGAGCTGAACGCAATGCTGGTATTGCGCCCAGGTTTCCATTCCGTCTTGAACCTCGACCACCTCGGCCGTGAGCTCATCTTGCAGGGCGAACTGACAAGAATGGGACACAAGGGTGTGCGATGGGTGGACACGCATGCGCTCCTGTTCGACCACTACTTGATTCTGGCCAAGCCGGTCAGTTCTCGTGACGGTAGAGGGGGTAAGAAGTTTGACGTGTCAAAGGAGGTGAGTCAATCTAGTGCGTCGCGCAGAACCTGGACTAACTGAATCAGCCCATACCGATGCCGCTGCTCTTCCTCGACAGCATGAATGATGACCCGATATCGAAGCAAAAGGGTATCGCACCTTTGGCGCGAGGGACGGGCGGGTCGACCCCGGACAACCGGCTTGGTAAGATCACGAGTAACGGCGGTGACCGCCCAACCCTAGAACACGCAGCCACAAGCTCGTCGATTGGTTCTGTAAGCGTGAGCAGGTTAACACCCACCATGTCGAACGACTCGAAAGACAAGATCTTGTATCCGTTCAAGATCAAGCATCTTGGTCACGAAACCTACACCCTCTTTGCCACGACGCCGGACAAGCGGGCGGACTGGGTGCAGAAGATCATTGAGGCCAAGACACGGCATGCCAAGGCGCTGTTCTCGCAAAACGCGGAACCTTTCCGATTACGAGTGCTGGCGGACAGCTCGTTCGCATATGACTCAGTGTCGGCCAATGGCAAGACTGCCGGCGTGCCGGTACGGGGCACGCCGTTGGATCGGGCGATTCGTGAGCTCGAGCAGGTATACGGGCCTGGCCGCGCGGCTCCGGTGTGCCGAGCGCAGGTCAACTGCGCCACCGGCTTCACAGCCTACGGTAAATCAATCATTGCAATCGGAACAGATTACGGCGTGTACATATCCGATACGACGGATCCCCGAGGCTGGACAAGGGTGAGTTCGCCTGACATGATAACGGTCGTACTGAGTTGCGCTAACGAGTGACAGACTGTTCAGGTCAACCGGGTGACCCAGATTACGGTGTTGGAGGAGTTCTCGGTCTGCCTGATCATCGCAGACCGGTCGCTCATCTCGTACCCGCTGGATGTTGTGGCACCCGTGTCAAACTTCCCAGCGCCTGTGCACGATAACCCCCGGCGGCGCCGCAGCGGCTGGGCAAGGACGTGGCATTCTTCGCCAGCGCACGGATGAAGGAGCGGATGCTGGTGTTCTACAAGCGCAAGGAGGGTATGCACAACACATTCAAGGTGCTGGAACCTGTGTTTCACAAGTCATCGGAAAAGAAGTCGCGGTTATTCGGAGGCCGGCGACCAGGAGGCGGCGCGACGGAAGCGTTCCGCGACTATGACGAGTTCTACCTACCGACGGAGTGCTACTCGCTCAACCTGTTCCAGTCGTATATTGCCATCTCGACGGCTAAGGGTTTTGAGCTTCTTACGCTGGACAAGAAGCAGCCCATGTCGATCCCAGACCTCAGGGAGCCAGCAATTGCCAACATTGCGACGCGTATTCGAGACCAGCGGCCACTGGGCATGTTCCGCCTCAACGACCAGGAGTTTCTGCTCGCGTACGAAGATTGCGCAGTGTACGTCGATAAGCACGGCGACGTCAGCCGAACGCTCATTATGGAGTATTCTGGAAAGCAGAAGAAGGCGCGCGGGGCGACCATGTACGGGCAGTACCTGCTGCTGTTCAATGAGGACTACGTCGAGGTGCGCAACGCGGAGAATGGGCGTCTGCGGCAAATCATCGCGGGACGGGATGTCAAGTGTCTCGACTACGGCGTACGCGGGCCAACCGGAGGCACATCAGTGAGCTCAACTAGCTGGCTACCGGGTCAGAGCCAGGCGCCAGGAGGCCAACAGCAGCTCGGCGAAGAGAGCAAGTCGACGGTCAAGATTTCGATGAGCCACCCGGAGATTGCGGGCACGCAGATTGTGCTTGAGATGCTGCTGAATGACGGACACACGGAGAAGTAGGCAGGCGTCAGAAGAAGGGCTAAGGGCATTCAGTAGAGGGATGATGATTACGACGGTGAACGACTTGTTATACCACGGACGAGGCGGGAGCGGGGGAGGAGGGGACCATGTTTCGATGACACACTGAGGCTCTGTGCTTGAATGCGTTTCTTGCCGTGTTTGTAATTACCTAGTCGTCGTGAAGATGCAAGAGGGAAGGGCAGGAAGTCAAGGTTTATCATATGCACGGCGTTCAGGCTCTTTACACAAGTCGAGATACCTGGGGTAGAGAGCTGATGAATCTACGTCGCGTGTTCTTCTTGGCGTTGTTTTCCGTGCAGATCTGGTGTCCGGATTGGGGGTACTGATGGTTTTGGGGACAGGGAATACGAGTATAGGAGCGAAGGATTCCTCCTCAAGGAAGCTTGATTGGAAGAGCGAGTGGATGTAAGCGGCATGCAAAGTGAATCCGCGGACAGAGCTGGGTTTCCCAACCTCCTTCTTTACAAGATCGTCATTGCGTCTGTGATACATTACAGAGATATCATTCGTAGCTTGTTCAGACTGATCCAGTTGTTGCTGATAGTCCGCAGAGACCCTTTCAAATCGGCAGCACCAAGATTCACGATTCATCGTTATCCTGACGCCATGCATATCCTGCACTTGACGGCCGTCGTCCTCTCGACCCTGGCCGCACGGCCGGTCGAGGCATCTCGTCCTCGGAACTGCCCGCCCCTGGGCCCCGTGTTCCCGCCGGCGCGCGCCCCGCGCTCTCATCCCCGCGTGGTCGCCGCCCTTGAGGCCCTCTCCCGCGACCTCCTCTCGCGTGCGGCGGGCTGGAACAACACGGCCCTCTCGGTGGGTGTAGAGACGGTCATTGACCATCGTAACGATGATGACGATGGAGAGAGAGGACCGATGCTGGAGCTGCACTATTCGCCTCCCGGCGCGAGGGACGTCAACGGCGAGACGGTGTACCGGGTCGGCAGCGTGAGCAAGGTCTTTGCGGTGCTTGGGGCGGAGATGCTGGCGGCGAGGGGCGACCTGCATCTGGATGACAAGGTTGGGCGATGGATTGATGAGCTGAAGCAGGGCAGCGAGGGAGGCGTTCCGTGGGAAGAGGTTACGGTTGGGTCTTTGGCGACGCACATGTCGGGAATCGGCGTGGACAGTGAGTTCGATCCCTCCGCCTAGGACTGGGGCCAGTGCCGGTGCCTGCGCCTGTCCGACAGATTCACAGCTTGTAGGGCCGAGACTGACGGCGCAGTGTTCCTCGACATGGTCATCTTCCCCGGGGACTGGGGGGCGCTGGGCCTGCCACCGGTCAAGGCGGCTGACAGACCAACGTGTTCGGGCTTTCGTGGGACAGAGCCGTGCAGCAAAGATGGTGGGTGATCTCTGACGCGGACAATCGTGGTGTCTCCTCGTGATGCTGAGAACGGTGGCAGATCTGCTGGCGGCGTACAAGAGCAAACGGCCGCCCATTTATGCGCCGAATCACGCGCCAGCCTACTCGAATGCCGGCATCTCGCTCGTAGGCCTCGTCGTGGAGGCGGCGGCGGGCAAGCCGTACGACGAGGTCATACGCGAGCTGATCCTCGAGCCGGCGGGCATGCGCGGCACGACAGTCGGGGGCACGCTGGACGACAACTCGACCATTTTCGTGCCCGTGAACAACACCGAGTGGAACGACGACATTGGCGTCTTTGACGCGTAGGTTTTCTGTTTCCTTTCCTACCTGTCGAGCATGGGCGTGATGAGGCGGGCCCAAGATGACTGACCGCAAGCCAGGGCCGGCGGCATGTTCACGACAACGCACGACCTCCTCGCCTTTGCGCGCGCCATCCTGCGCCACGGCTTCCTGTCGCCGGGGCAGACGCGCCGCTGGCTCAAGCCGACGTCGTTTACGTCGGGTTGGGGGACGTCGGTCGGCGCGCCGTGGGAGATCCTGCGCCTCGACAAGCTGTTGCCGTCGGGCCGCATTGTCGACGCGTACACCAAGGGCGGGGACATCGCAGACTACGCTTCTGCGCTGGCGCTCGTGCCAGACCTCGGACTGGCTGTCACCATCATGACGGCGGGGCCCGAGATGCTGCCCGCCTCGATTCTGCTGTCACGGGTTTTCGAAGGGCTGGTGCCGGCGCTCGAGGCGGCGGCGCGGGATGAGGCAAGGCGGAGGTACGCGGGCATCTACGAGGACGAGGCGACGGGATCGCGCATTGTGCTGTCCGTCGACGAAGAGGGCCAAGGCGAAGGGCTGCTGCTGACCGAATGGGTGATGCGCGGGTTCAACGTCCTGGCAAACTTGCACCGGTACAGTGTTCGGGGCATCAACGACACAGAGACGCCGCCGCGTGAGGGCCAGACTCTGCGGCTGTTCCCCGCGCTTGTCGAAATGAACGGCGGCACGACAGAGGCCTGGAGGGCAGCCGTGCCGCCCTTTACGGACGACGAGGCCGAAACGCTTGATGAGGAGCTGGCATGGCGGGATGGGACGTGTCTCTCTTGGCTACTGGCGGATCGAGCGACCTATAACTACCTCGCCGTTGACCACTTTGACCTCATCGTCGGAGACGACGGCGGTCGAGAGGCTGTGGCCATTCGTCCGAGGGCGTTTGCGCTGGAGCTTGCACGGACGAAGACTGGCCCTGCGCAACTTGCAAACGAGGCCATTGAGACGTTGGAAACGTTGGGGCCGGAGTTGGAGACGGCCCCCGACGAGAGACAAGTCCCCGTCGAGTTATAGAGCAAGCGATCGGCAGTTAGAATCCAGGACGATGATGCTATTTTCAGAGGGCCCCTGTCAAGGTATTCTCGGCAAGGCTGGTCAAGCTTTCTTCGTCCCCTCTTTTTCCATGGTGAACCCTGTCGGGTCTTGTTTTTGAGTGCGAGCTCGCCAATCAGAAGCATCTCGGATAGTTTGACAGTGCCGTGGGCTTGGGAGTAGATGGCGGAGGATCACCAACCCTGGCCCCCCTTCCATCCCGTTTGTCAGTAGAAGAAAGCAGTCTTTCGTCTTCTTTAAATTCGGCCTTGGACTTTCCTTGTTTCTAGTTATTCATTTGACATGCAACCTTGGGTGAAAAAGCTGTCGAAAAAGCCGTCGAAGAAGCCGACCAAAACCGAACATCACCAAGTGATCGAGCCATCGTCTTGATCCTGGCAACCAGTCATGACCACGATGGCTCAGATTTCTGCTGGTCACTACCGGTACTCTCAGTATCAAGAGCACCACCCTTCTTATCGTCAGCAACATCACCCCCCATACCAACATCGTCACCACCCCAAGTCTCATCGACCACACCCCCAATATGAGCAAGCACCACCTCTACCCCCTCGCCCACGGCGCCAACAGCACCAACACCACATAGCAGAGCTCGAAGTGCCTCCCTGCATCGCCGTTGAAATGCCGGCGAGTCCCGTGCAGGAGAACCCAACCCTCCGCGAGCTCCCCGACGACCCTTCGACAACCGCTCTAGTCACTACTGCACACTACCTCAACCCAAGAGCATCATCCACTCACCTTTCGGCCACAGCACACAGCCGCTCGTCAACATCCTCTCTCGGCAGAGAGCCCTACTCGATCCCGCTGCCGCCCTCCCGAGCCGCGACTCCCACACCCCCAGACTCATCTCCAACACCACCCATGCCGGCTCCTCCTACTCCTCCTCCTCCATTGCCCCGGAAGACTGGCCCCGCACCCCCGTCGACTGCCCCCCAGCAAACTACCCACAGGCCAAGGCCCCAGCCCTCAAGCTCTTCGGCAGCAAAAAGGCTAAGCGCCGCCTCGACAAGACGGTCGACGGTACCCCAGGCCCCCCTGAACTCGGCCGTCAAGCCAACACCTCGAACCGCGCTACACCCCAAAGAAACTGGAACACCATCCCCCAGACCGCCTCCCATCGCTATCTCGAGGGAAAGCTCTACGGGCCTGAGGGCCGTTACCCTCACGCCGGGGCTATCGATGAGGGTGTCGTTGGGAGGCCCAAGCTACCGGCGCGGCCCGTGGTGGCGCCGGCGGAGGCGGGGGCTTTGGTCTTGGCTAGGGAGCCCGAGGTTGAGTTTCCGGCTGTCGGGCTGGTGCCGGTGGTTGTCAGGGAGAAGAAAAACGAGAAAAGCCACTAAGTTCTGCCGGCAGAGGGATTCCGACTCAAGGCCTGTCCGAACGTACAAGAACGCACAAGATGGATAGTTGGTTACTATACTATTTCATTGGGTTTGAGAGCGTCAGTACTGGGCGCCCAAACCTTTTATAAGTAGCAACTTGAAGCACTCACCGCGTGGCAACGAACACCCGGCCCCGCCCATTTTCCACAGATCACTTCAACCCACAAACCCGCCTCTCGATTCCCCGACATCTGCTCACCGTGAGCCAGCTTCGCACCTTTTCGGTCATCCAAAAGCCGGCGAACTGATGAGCACTCATCACCTCGAGGAAATATCAAGCGGATATAGTGAGCGCGCGCCTTTGCACCTCGACCAGTCTCCTCCGGGCACTACTCTCCCTCCGATCGAGAATTCATTTATCGAGAGATACAATATCGCTTGCGATGCGGAGGATGACGACGAAGCGGACACGCTTTCCGACGAGATTCTAGACGCCGTCGTTGAGGCGGGAAGGCCAACTTTTGACCAAATCGCCCCGCCGCCTGCGCCCGGCGCCACTGTCTCGACCGATCTCCATACTCTCTTCTTTCCAGACGAATTCTCCTTTTGCTTTAGAGCCTTGGACGGCAAGGCAGACCTAATTCGCAGTGACAGCAATGACACGCATGATAGCGCCTCTCTTGACCCATTAGGCCGCCCATTCCAACTCAACGTTGATCATGACTTCACTCTGCCGAGATTCTCCACCAAGGACATTCGCGTCCTCAAGAACATTCTCTACAACGGCTACATTGCACGTGTGGCGATTGACGGGAAAGAGATATGCTTCAAGGCGGGAGATAATAAAGGCCCGGAAGCCGCGTAAAGGGAGCTCGAATGCCTCTGGAAGATCACTGTCTCTCTATGCGACCACTATCCGCGTCCCAAAACTCCTCGGACTCATTGAAGTAGCCGACCGAAAGGGAGCCGTTGGATTTGTGGAGGAGTTTATCCCAGTCTCGGCTACCTGGGAGCTAACGATACTGCGAAATATCGAGGCGGCTTCTGATATCGCAAAGGATCGTCGCAAGAAGTGGGCTTTGCAGGTCCAAGAGACTGTCCACGTGTTGCATCAGATCGGAGCCGTGTGGGGCGATGGCAAGGCATCAAACGTACTGATCCATCGCGACACCGACGATGCTTGGATCATTGACTTTGGTGGCGGATGGACAGATGGTTGGGCAACCCGGGAACTGAGCGGGACGGTGGAGGGTGACGAGATGGCCGTGAAAAAGATCTTTGATTTCTTGGAAGTTTGACAGAAACATTCCTGGTCTTATAGAACGTTGTCAGGTGGAAAGACAGAGCGTTAGCCAAGCAGTTTCGTAGAGTTGGAAGACTGTTCATGAATCCGGATGGCCCATCTGGTTTGTCCCCATGTGGATTTGATATTTTACAACAGGGCCAGCCACACAGAAGCCGATCGAGGGCGCCCAGACTTCGGCTTGCTTCTCAAGCCGCAAAGTCCTCTTCTGACCCCATTGGCCTTGCTCTTGAAATGCATGTACTTTTGGATTGCAGACAACGAATGTCGTCTCTTAGATAAGCTGGCTGGCAGGATTCACCGTGGTGTAGCGCCAACGCTGCCACAGCTTACTGTGCTCCGAATTTGAAAGGCGAGGACTGTTCTGTCTTCTCAAAGGCCATTCGCGGATGATCTAAGAAGTAAGAAATATGCAAGCTACTATGCTTTCATTTATCTGTCACGACAGCCATAGAGCTAGCAATCGGAATTACTCGAGCAAACTTCCTTCTCACGTGGCCATCCCTGTGGTCGCGGTACTTCCACAGATCCTCGATATACCAACCTTTATTGCGAGAGTAAGCATGATCCATGAACTCTTTCACACGAATATCCCCTCCCCTGGACGGTGAGCCTTCGCCCTGGAGTAGATGAATTACATTCATCGTCCACGTAATACAATCCTCATCACTGCCTTCGGCTGGTGTCAGAACCCGATCCAGAAGAGCTTCGATCTCACGGTAACCTCTGCCAGCCGGAAGTTTTCCAATCATTATCCGCCCGACCAGACGTGAACGCCTCGTAAGTGGGGTGCTATGGGCGGGCCTTTGTTTTGCCTCATAATCAAGGCATATAACCGAATAAGTTCCAAAACAAAGCGAGGGCACTCGGTGAATTGAAGTCTGTTGGAGCCACCGACTTGAAAATGGCAAACTCATCCTCGTCAAGAACCCCCATCGCTCCCCGGCGCGTGGCGATGCAATCGGACGCGCTACCCTTATCCATTCGAATACGCATCTGGGCCAGCCAGTACCTCTACCCTGGCAGAAATCGAGGTGGATCAGGGAACATCATCCGCCTGCCGTTTAAGAAGGTCATCAAGCTGAACACCACGCGGAACGAGGTAGAAGCAATGGAGTTTGTCCGCAACCATACGTCGGTGCCTTTACCCAGGCTGTACGAGGTGTATGAGCGGCCTAATAGTGCCGTCCATATTGTCATGGAAGCACTTCCAGGCAGTGGTACCGACTACACGAACTTGAGCCCAGAACAAGTCCACGCGTTTGGCGATGAGCTCTCTGGCTATCTTCACCAACTGCGAAACCTCGAACCACCTGGGAAGGGCTTCGTCGGATCAGTGAATCGAGAATCTTTACTGGACCATCGGGTCGGCCATCTTCGCTTTGGGCCTTTCCATAGTGTGGACGACTTTCATTCGTATCTGCGCCTTGGTGGGCCTCTTGATACATGGATGTACGATCCAGTGGTCAAGGCAATACATGGAAGGTCAGGCACGTACCGCGTCAGATTCACTCATGCTGATCTCAACCCGAGCAACATTCAATACCACAATGGGCGGATCACGGGCATCATCGACTGGGAATTCGCAGGCTGGTACCCTGAATACTGGGAGTACACTAAGATGTGGTTTGCAGATCGTCCCGTGTATCGGAAGTTCTTCGAGGCCATCGAAGGCAACGTGACTATCGAGAAGTATCCTGAAGAGCTCAAAGCTGAGCAAGACATTTGGCAGCGTCTTAGTCCCTGGGCTTATGATGACTTCTTCGAACGGCCAGAGAACGCTGCCGCGTTCCTCAAGTCCATAAGTGGCGCCAGGTCAGCTCTGAGAGGACACGATTAGTAGCGGTGTGAGGCTGTCTAGTGTTAGGACCGAGTCCTGGACTAGCAAATATTGTAAGCGAAAGGGGAAGGTAAACTGTTCTGTCACACGGTAGCCAAAAGAGGGTTGATATCGCCGCGTTCACTTAGGGTGAAATTGAGCTGGTTGGGTCAGAATGAAAGACACTGACTGCATGGCAAAGGCTTCGCCTCGTAACTTGTCCCAGCCGTCCTGCCCTGCTGACTCAAGAGGAAGCCAGACGGCGCGCATAGATCCGCCCGTCAATTCTAGGACGAAGCAGGCACTGAGATTGTCCCGATACAGAGCCTTGGTCTCATATGGAAAATCATTGGTGTGGTGCCGAGTCCATAGACCATGAATGGCGTCTTCAGCGACTGAGCCGAGGAAAGTGCGACTACGACAATGCATCTGCTGCTCCGTTGAGGGCCATGCATATTGATGCGGACCGTCGGAACCCAGATGTGAAGGCAAGTGACAGTTGATAGATATCGTCAAAGTAGCTGAATGAGGATCTCCAGATGTCGAGAACGCTAAGCGGCTGCGTGGGCATCCAAGACAAATGCACACCGTGGAAAGGAGGCTTGTTCTTCGGCACCGAATAGAAGCGATCGTAAATTGCGAACTCCGTCAAGTTGACAAGATCATCAGCAATATGGGTTTAAATCCAGGGTGGTTGACTAATACCCTTCATCAGTCTTCCTCCCAACATGACCTACGCAGGCTTGTGACTGACATTAAGAATTTAGTGGATGGCTTGTGTGAAGCGTGCTTTACGTCTTATGTTGTCACGAATGTTCGAACCACCATGATTGGGCTTCAAGTTGGAATTTCTTGACAGCCATTACTGTAGTAGTAGGTAGCTTCTTGTAAATAGTCGAGTTTCAGTGTCCGGGTTGAGCACCTCCGCTACACGGAGGGTGTGGTGGCCGGACGTCGACCTGGCATATCCGAAACTTTGCCGGCTGTTGGGTCGGGACCTCCACCTGTACGTGGCGAAGGTTTACGACACCCGGAAAGCCCGATCAAAATTTATCTGCTGCAGGCGTCCATGATACGACAGCACGAGTCAAGAAGGTTGGCTGCATGACATGTTGGATGGAACGATGAGGATAAAGCTCCGTCACTTATGTCAATTTGCAATTGACGAAACGGCCGATTGCGTGCTTTGTACCAGAGCCCTTCAAATGAAATTGTACAACTGTAATCTGAATCATTCTTCGAGGAAAGGCTTGGTGTCGGTTTTTAGACTTGCCGGTAAGAGTCTTATCCATGGTGTTTCAAGATGACAGCCGTAAGTGGCGATGGACACGGACATGAGGTCCGATACCAATCGTTACGGATCGCAACGGAAGGCAGATTGTCGTTCATGGCCGTAGTCAGGCAACGGGACCCTTGACGTTCTTCCGGGATCTGTGATTAGTAGGGGTTGACGAACCGAATCTGACTTACAGGGCCTAGAAGCTCCTGCCCACCTTCTAAAGGCGTTCCATTGTAGACTAGGATTGCCTTGGCTTCCGGGGGGACCCCTGGCAGGCTATGCTCCCACTCCAAAGAGGTGATGCACGTGAATCGCAATCATGTTTGCAGAAGCTCATCATGCATGTTAGTCAGACCTGGCATCGTCGAGAATATGTTCAATATGCAGGCAACGAGAGCGGAGGTATACATGTGGTTCAAGTCAGCGTTGTTCTGGTCAGCGAAATTAAGAGCATGATGATGCTCTGGCGCCGATTCGTCCGTGTCAATCAAAGGGCGAGCGAAGGCGCTTTACCGAGAGCGGTGATTCGATGGGTAAGTTGCCGCGGCTCGCTGGCTATTTTCGGACCATGATGAAGAGGCGCGGGGTATCAACGATCAGCGGTCAGCCAACGAATCGACACGAGTTAGTAAAGGGCGCAGGAGTTTGCCCCTCGTAGCATTAGTGGGAAGGGTCTGCCCACGTCAAGTCAGATGTAAGCGTGGTCTTGGTGAATGTAATTCCCTCGCCTGCAGCTAAGTTTGTGCTGGAAGTTGGGCAAAGGGCAGGGTGGAGCGAGGAAGGTTCGGTCGTCGGGCGCAACCCCTTGGAAGTACGGCGTGTATCGCCTTGTATCCGCCCAGGCCAGTGTCAACTGTTGGTCGGCTGAGCTTGTCTGGTGGTATCCCTTTGGGATGTCCGATCAGCCCACACCGACATGTAACGAGCCATTGGCAGTCAGGGTTGCGTTTCGACCTTTATCGATAACTATTGCGTCACTGGCTCGTAAGATGGAAGGCTGGATGTTGAACGTGAGCCCAACTCGCTCGCTTGGCCTGCCTGTTGATGGCTGCTGAGTTTGGCGCTGCCTCCCGAGCCAGCGAGCGTGTAGGTCGATAATGGGCTGGAACCGGCGACATGCTGATCATCGCCTCGTCCGTCACTGCCTATTTGGGACATGTTTGTGCACCAGACCTCATCAAAGGTTCAGGATACCCGTCGTATTGTGAGAGACATTGTGATGAGTGACGTCGCAACGGCCGGAGATATTGATCGGGGCCGCAGATTGCGTACAGTCGGCCCCTGTTCCATCGATCATAGTCTCCAGCCAGGCGTGGGGCCTTGTCTGGGGTTGCTCTCAATCTCCCAGGTCTGGTATTGATGGAGGGGCTGCCTTCATCGAGAGGTTGAAGATGCAGACTGACTGCTGGACGATTGTCAAGAGGGGCCGATCTGGTCTGTCGCAACGGTGAAAGTGAAGTGACGATGCGATGGATGGACCATTGGTAGACATGGGCGGAGGCCTCGTGACCGATGCAGGCTCGGTTCGTGCGGCATATCAGCCACTCGCTTTTCAGGCGGCCAGGTTTGCCTTGACCTGCCTGACCTTTTGCCTTGGGGCTAGCTGGGTAGGTGACGACCTAAGGCGGGTAGCTAGCTTATTATCAGCGGTGTAGGGTGAAGGGACGGAGCTCGGAGGGAGCTCGGTTGCATCTGCTCTTTTCCGCGAGGGATGAGGCAGGAAAGCATCGCAGAAGCGGGAAATGATGGGATGCAAGCTGCCGAGCTTCGTGTTGTACCGAAGGGCAGACTGGGCTGAAGTCTTGAATCATGAGAAGGGAGGAGCTTGGGTCATTGATTGTGTTGTGTTTCGAAGCAGGGTGCACAGTCTCATGCCACTTGCCCCAACAGTGGGTGGGCCGCGGAACCACCTGCCTCGCTCTTCTCCCTTTGGCCCTGAAGCGGTGATGAGGGGAGAGAGGAGCTACAGACAGACGGGGAAGGATGTCCCGGCTGTTTGGTCAGGTGCGCACGCGACTGCCTTAACCGCAAGATAGACACACCGCTGTCAGCATTAAACAAAGGCGATTGTTATGACCAGCACCATGGGAAAAACTCCTCCATCTAACGACAACGACAACGACGACGACGACGAGACCGAGATCAACATGACGATCGCGATCTAGTTGGTTCATTGGCACATGCCCGCCGGCAGGCAAAGCAGGGAGGGCATGACAAGTCTCGGTTTAGTAGGTGTTAAGCGGTCCCTCTCTCCGACCAAGTTTCGGGCGTGCCTAGAAAGTCCTGACCTTCTGAAGAGCCTCGCCGCCTGGCGGCTGCAAAGGCCCCTCTTCGCCTGGGTCTCGGTGGATTCTGAGTCGTCACGGTGATCCCAGTGCCTTGCGCCAACTAGGGGTTTTGATGGTTTCCGAAATAGCCCCTCGAGCATCTAACAGCTCTTAATATGTACGTATCGTGGAATCTGGGTTCTCCATTGATGCTGAGAGCCAAGCCGGGAGGGCTTATTTCCTCGCCTAGGCGTCTGCGACATCGTCTGACAGAGCGTAAATTGAAAAGCAAAGCGGCCTCTTTCCCTGCATTGCAATTGGCATTGGGCATTGTAATGATTCCAGCACGATCCTGCAAGCCTGGGTTCGCATAGGCGGTGTGGCCAAAGCACCTGTCCCGGTCCAATTCCTTTCCGTCCGCGGCACGAGTCGAGACAGAACCCAGCAAACGCAGGAAGCGCCTGGTTCGGTGTGTCCTAAATAGTACGTACCCCTTGAGCGATCCCTACTGGACTCCACATTGGGCTGCTGCACGGTGGCCAGGGCGCCAAGGCCAAGACATCTTGGGACCCAAGCCGAAAACCGCCTCCCCCCTAAAACTGTTCCAGTGGGGAGCAAGGAGTGAGGAGCGCGGAAGGGGGTAATCGATGAGCGCCGCGGAAGACAGGCTGGCAGAGGTGGCCGGACACCAGCCAGCCAGCCAGTGAGCCAGTGAGCCAAGCAAAGCAAGCAAGGCGGCCAGCGGTGGGCAGTGACTTGTTCACAGTACAAGTCGTCTAAAGCAAGGCCCCAGTTTAGGTACAGGCTCTTCACCCTGTCCCATCCTCTCTCCTCGTCCTCCATCCAGCGGCCACCAGCAGCCCGTAGGTACCTTCCTTAGGTAGCCAGTCCAGCCCAGCCCAGCCCAGGCAGTGAGTCCACTGAGCCGACCTCACCACCAACTCTGCGTCCCACCCTCGCCTCCATTCCGAATCGCCTGTCCTCGCCTCTTTCCTCCCCGTTTCTCCTTCCTGCACATCACAACCTCCACGCCACGATCCCCTCAGGCCCCCAAGGTACGATTGCCCCCCTTCTGACTCCAGAAATCCCTTCTGGATTATTTGGTGTTCCATATTTTCGACTTGCAACCCACTCGTCGTTTCTCCTCTCAACAAGGGCTGACCTTCACTAGCCCGTCCAACCGCCCACCTTCGGTCGGCATACCTTCGGTTTCGTCCTGACGAACCGTGAAATTCGCGTCTCACGATACCTGCACGCGATAAAAATCAACCAACAGCAGGTAAGTTGACTTCTTTCACGCCCACAGAACCCTTCGCCTCGCCCCTCTTCTTCCAGATCACCAATCTGCCCGCGTTGGTCTGTTAATCACGCGAGGCCGTGGCCCACAACCCACACACCCGACAACTTTGGACTGGGCCGAGACAGCTTGGAGGGTCCTCGACGACCAACTGTCGAGACGCGCCCCTCCTGCTTGGACGAAGCCGCAACCAGCTCGATTCTCACCCTCCCTTTTAGACCGTTCATTTTGCTTCCCGACATTCGCCCACCCAAGATTCCCACAAAACATCAAGCCTTGCCTAAGCAAAAGCTAATCTGTCCATTGAGCAGCAACCAAGCTGTGCTGTCGAATACACCCACCAACACACCTCCCAAACTCGGACTCCTTCCTCGCGGAACGGAAGCACCACATCCCCCCGGCAGCATGACGACCAATGGTACGGCCCCTTGCCCCCCAGGTGGAATTGCCCTTCCCTCCCAAACGATATCATCGATCGAGTCGTTCCCCGACCTTGCTAACCCTATACCACGACAGGATCTGCGAGTCGGAAAACAAGTACCGTATCGGTCGTAAGATTGGTTCCGGTTCCTTTGGCGACATTTACCTGGGCACCAATATTATTTCTGGCGAGGAGATCGCCATCAAGCTCGAGAGCGTCAAGGCCAAGCACCCTCAGCTCGAATATGAGGCCCGCGTCTACAAGTCCCTGGCTGGCGGTGTCGGCATTCCCTTCGTCCGCTGGTTCGGTACCGAGTGCGACTATAATGCCATGGTTCTCGACCTGCTTGGCCCCTCCCTCGAGGATCTCTTCAACTTCTGCAACCGCAAGTTCTCCCTGAAGACGGTCCTCCTCCTCGCCGACCAGCTCATCTCCCGCATCGAATACATCCATGCCAAGTCGTTTATCCACCGTGATATCAAGCCCGACAACTTCCTTATGGGCATCGGCAAGCGTGGTAACCAGGTCAATGTGATCGATTTCGGTCTGGCCAAGAAGTATCGCGACCCTAAGACTCACTTCCACATTCCTTACAGAGAGAACAAGAACCTGACAGGCACTGCCCGTTATGCCTCTATTAACACACATCTTGGTGTCGGTCAGTCTTTGGAACCCCTGCCCCCAACATGCCCTCGCATCATGCCCCTCGTGACTTGCTCACTGACTTGTTGTGTCTCGTAGAGCAATCTCGACGTGACGATATGGAGTCGCTCGGCTACGTGATGCTCTACTTCTGCCGTGGCTCCCTGCCTTGGCAGGGTCTCAAGGCTGCCACTAAGAAGCAGAAGTACGACCGTATCATGGAGAAGAAGATGACTACCCCTACAGAGGTCCTCTGCCGCGGCTTCCCGAACGAGTTTGCAATCTACCTGAACTATACTCGCTCCCTTCGATTCGATGATAAGCCCGACTACAGCTACCTTCGCAAGATCTTCCGTGATCTTTTCGTCCGCGAGGGATTCCAGTACGATTACGTCTTCGACTGGACTGTCTACAAGTACCAGAAGAACGCCCAGGCTATTGCCCAGGCTGCAGGAAATCAGGAAGAGGACGACAAGGCCCGGGCTACTCGTGCCACGGCCGGAACTGCTGGTCAGCCGAACCTCCCTCAAGGTGCCGGAGTGAAGCCTAACGCCATTTCCAGCTCGCGCCGCAAAATGATTGAACAAGATGCTGGTGCCCGTGCGCACACGCTTGACACCAGCCCTGCAATTGGCGGAAGCGACAGAACGTGAGTGCAACCGCCCAAGAAATGTACACGATGGATGATTCAGTTTTCTAACGGTTTGGCCTACTAGGTTGAGGTCAGCCTCCAAGGGTGCTGGTGCCGGGTATGGCGCCCATCGCGCGAGATGATCAGCAGCAGTTGTCAGCACTTCTTAACTCAAATCCCCCCCCCTTCCCCTCTTTCTGGAGTACGACCAGACTGAGTCTATGGACTGTCTTATTCGTGGCAGCAGAGGCGAGCGTTGCTCCGCTGGTTGGAAACATCATCTATCCATCATGCGGTCTCGAGAGCACGCTTTGTCTTTCGATCTCCTCGCCTCGCCCACTTGCAACGGTCACGTCTCCTTGTTTTCACGCTTTCAACATGGTTCTCCGACAGTGCGGTATTGATATTTTGGTACTATGGCTCGGGACCCCCAGGTTCAGACGATTCCTCTTCTATTGTGGACTACATCCGCATTGATGACGAATTGGTCACTACATGGGATGGTTCTGAACGGCATGTCCGGTGTCTCGATCCGTCGGGGCATCGTTGTTGAGATCAGCTCACATCAACGCAGACTGCACAGGGCCCCGCGCGACGAACTCGGTTGTCGTCCTGTGTCACTCGCAAACGTCTAGTCCGAAATCCGACAACCTCTATCTGGATCCGACGGCGTGGTCGGTGCGTTGTTGGAGCTGTCCCAACTACTCTTTCCTTGCATTGTCTATTTCTTTTCTAATGGGTATGCGATTGATGATTGGCCTTTTCCTATCGTGGTCCCAAGCATGGCATTTGTCGCGTTGCAGGTGGGTTCTGGGGAAGCAACACCACGTTCGACGGGGGAAGGCCAGGCCACAGCGACTGTTACGGAATAATGACGTCCAATTTGGGAGGGGGAAAGCATTTGGCCTCGATTGCGTGAACAATTATCAGCATTCATGGATCCCCAGTTGGCAAATGAACTTCTCCCCCACCCAGCAGAGGACGTCAGGGATGCGGCGGCAACTGGGCATAGGCGGCTATATCACATGGCCCGTCTCCCTGTGTGTGTTGGTGGCCTGTTAAACTCGAGTGTCTACGGCGCCGGGTGGTTGGAATGTGACTGCGCCAAGGCTGCAGGGTCAAATGTGCGAAACCAAACGGCCCTCAACGCCTGCGTCCTGGCCAACGCAACGAGCACCAACACCATGTTCTGGCCTGCCGACGATGTCATCTCCGCAACCTGGTCAACGTCAGTATGGAGGTGGTGTTAATCCGATGCTTTTCGCTCCTGTCATGCGGACGAAGGGGTGCGGTCGAAGGCCGTACGTACACACGAGATAGTTTTCCTCAAAATCGAATTGTTTCCCACTATGAGTATTATGCACATGTTTCTTTTGGACGGCACTACGATGATGAGGTGGAGGGAGCTGAATGTGTTGGTCCAAGTATTGGGACAGATTTGAGGCCACTTCGGGCGCAGCAACAGCAAGGCCGGCACATGTGAGACAAGGCGTGCAGCTTGGACGAGGGTATACACCTACTATTGAGAGCTAATGGCAGAGGGGCTGGCGTGGGAGAGCATTCGTGATGCCTGTCAGGAGGCTGTACACGCAGCTGGGCAAGGTCAGCTGCCAAAGGGGGGTTAGACTTGGCGGGGGTTGTTGGGGCCTGCATGGGATGGGACGGAAGCCTGGACAGAGGGCACTGCCATGATGGCGCCGATGATGGTGGATGAGAGGAGGGCGGACAGACAAGACATAAATAACAGGGAGCCGCTCTCTGCTTGGCGAACCATCGAATCATCATCTCGACAGAGGTTACTTTGGGCCATCACCTCATTCAGTACTTACTTACCTACCTTACCTTGCCTTGAAAAGAGAGGTACCTACGGTGCCTGGAGTACCTGTGTGAGTACATCGGATAATTGCCGGCAAGGCGGCACACCACCAACCCCAAGGCTGTGCTACCAACCCAACCAGCACGCAACACCTAACCCAGCATTGGGCCACACCCACACCCACACCAACAGCCCCCCTCCCCAAGTTCTAGACCCCGGCCAAGGGAATGCTGGGCAACCCCAACCCTGGACTTGGATTCGGAATCTAGACGTCAGTGCTTTGACTTTCGACCATGGCCATTGCCAACCCCTCCATCACACCCATTGCCATCAAGATGGCACCCTCGACGCTTGACCTCTTCGTCCTCACCTTCAACTGCGCCAAGCGACTCATCAATGCCGCCGTCTTTGCTTCGCATCTGCAGGCTGCCTTTAAGCAGAATGCGACAGCTCTGCCAGAGGTAGTTGTTTTGTACGTCCCGCAGCTTGCTTCTTGTTTTCCCTTCTTCTCTTGGCCTCTGTTCTCCACGGGGTACTCCCTTTTGGAAAGCTGGGGTTCACATGGCAAGACATAGACATGGGCTGACCACCTATCTTACCGACCAATAGCTCCCTGCAAGAAGTCTCCCCTCTTGCCAGTGCTTTCATCGGCGGCTCCTTCATCAGCCCTTACCTTCTCGCCTTCGAAGAGGCCCTCAACCTAGCCGCCGCCGCCGCACAAGACGCGAACACAAATGGCCGCGACGAGACAGTGACCGTCGCACCGACGGCGAGTGCCGGTCCTGTACGGCCGTATACCCTCGTTCGGGCACGCAACGTCGGCATGACGGCCATCATGCTCTTCGCACGCGACCCGGCAGCGCTGCGAGACATCCAGGAGGCTGAGGTCGGGTTCGGAGCCAACAATATGGGCAACAAGGGCGCCGTCGCACTGCGGGCGACGTTTGGACGTGGCGAGGACGAGACGGAGGTGACGTTTGTGGCAACGCACCTTGCAGCTATGGAGTGGAACCTACGCAAGAGGAACGAAAATTGGGGGGTCCATCATGGAGGGACTCGCGTTTGAGGATCCAAAGGCTGTGGTGCGGGAATCCCCAGCACTGACGGCGGCCGCAGGCGAGGAAGCTGCTGCAGACAACGAGCGCTCGAGGTTGCTGGCCGCCGAAGAAGACGACGCGCAGAGCAAGGCGCAGCAGGCGCGCTTACAGGACCTGTCTGTCTTCAGGCCGAGCGCGCACCTGTTTGTCGCGGGAGACCTGAACTACCGCATCTCGGCGGAAAGCCCGCCGCCCAAGGCGCCGTTCCCGAGCCTCGACGACGCGAGCGAGCACCACTACCCGCGCTTCTTCGAGACGGATCAGCTGACGGCCGAGCGCGAGGCCGGCAGAACGTTGCACGGCATGAGCGAGGCCGAGGTGCGTTCCCCGCCCACGTACAAGTACCACGTGCTCGACGGCGAGAACGACAAGGGGTGGGGTCAACTGGAGTTCGCGTCGCACCGCTGGCCGTCGTGACGGATCGCGTGCTTGTACCTCGACGTGCCAGGGGCAAACGAAGGGCGTCGCCTCGGCGGCGCGCATCGACGTGAGAGGCCTACGACGCGCTGCCCCTTGCTGCGCACCTCGGACCACAGGCCCGTGTTCCTGCGTGTCGACGTGCCGATGCTGTCGCCGACCCAGATGAGAGAGGCCTTGGCTGCGGCCGTCGCTTCGGCTGGGGGCACGGACGATCCGAGGGCGAAGCCGCCCGTCGACGTCGACGTCGACACGTGGGCCGCACGCGCGGCGGCGCGGCGGAGTGAGAAGTGGGCTGGTTCGACCATGTATTTGTGGACGACGAGGGCCGGGGCATATGCCATCGCCGGTCTGCTCGGTCTCGGCATCGCGGGGTATCTATGGGTTGGACGCTCGCAGACGTCTTCTGCTGCTTGAGCCATGCACGATGGAGGGGCGTGCATTCTGGCATGATAAAGCATGGCCTGGCTTTGCGTTTTGTTTTTCCAATTTACTCCGGGCTCATACCTGCAGGTATAGAGGTTAGAGGAGGAGTTCTATAAGCGACTTGATTTGAGCGTGCCCTGCAATTTTCATGGTTCCATGCTCCTCTCATCGCTGACGGTTCGAGTCGTAGTGGAGTTCGGCGACATCGTCAATCATACGATGCCTTTGACCTGTCGTCCAGTTCAGGTGGATGATCGTCCGGCTCTTCCACACAATCTCCCGGAACTCCTCCCAGTTACACTACGTCTGCCATTCACGAGAGCTCGGTACATCACCCCTCAAAGCCAGTGCCCCTCCAAGCTACAGGATCGTTGCTCTTACATCCGCTGGGTCGGCGGGCTAGCAGCAGATCGACACTCGAATTTCCATTTGGCGCCCTTGGTGTGAAGATTCTCCATGGAGAATCAAGCACCGAACACCCCGGGACAGCGACTCACACGCAAACCACGTGCGGAGTATTCTGCGCTTCCCCAGTCCATTGGGTCATGATCGTGGTCCCCGGTTGGAGTACTGCGGGGGATCGCCAGCAACACATCCTGTTTTCTCACGATGCCATTGCGACGGCAGCCCCGGATTCCACATTAAACTCGGGCCGATTCTTCTTTTCGACAAGAGGGTCCAGCTCATCAACGCAATGTTGCTTTGCCGATGTGCGCTTGCGTAGGGCGCGAACCCAAGGCATCATCATTGCCTTTGGGATCCTTCTGCTGAACCATGACGGCATCTGCCTATATAAAGCTGAGCTAGCGAGCACGCGATGGCGAGGATATGTCTCTGCGTGTTTAACATCCTCACATGGTCAACTCGAAGACTTTCCTTCTGTGCTCCGCTACCATGATGATCAAGGCGCAACTCGTTCTGGCTACGCTAGGAGCTGCTCAGCAGGTCTACCTCGACGCCGAGGGCCCAACACCACGACCACAGTGCAAGGCGACGAGGACTCGCGAGCCTGAATACACCTTTACGCCTTTCAGCCACACTCTCACTGACACTGTGAGGTATGCGACGTCAGTGCCGCCGGCCACAACGACCGAGACGTACGCCGAGCCGTCCGAGTCGCTGACCAGTCTCGTCACGTCCCTCTCTTACACGACATGGGGCAAATGGGATCCTCGAGATAACTCTACGGCCACTGCTGCTGATGACGACTCGTCTGATCCCTACGGACAGGCGGCGTGGACTGCTCTGTGGCGACACGCCAACCCCCCCAACTTTACCGAGACGTCCGTCTACTCGACGACCGTGTCGCCCACGCCAGTGCCCAGCAGCGAGCTCGTGCTGCCCCCGAGGGACTACTTTGGCCCGCAAGACTGCTACCGCTTTCCGAAACACTTCCGCTTTGGGGTCTCGAGCTCTGCGAGCCAGATCGAGGGGCCACGCCGACGAAGGCAAGTCCCCGTCGCTCATGGATATTCTAGTCCGAGACGACCGGCCCAAGAGCTATGTCACCAACGAGAACTACTACTACTACAAGCAAGACATTGAGCGGGTTGCGGCCATGGGTGTCTCGCGGTACGCCTTCAGCATCGCCTGGACCCGCATCCTCCCCTTCGCGCTCCCCGGCACGCCCGTCAACCAGGCTGGCATCGACCACTACAACGACGTGATCAACTTCATCCTGGAGAAGGGCATGACGCCCGAGGTGACACTGCTGCACTTTGACACGCCGCTGCAGTTCTTCGGCAGCAACCTCAGCACGGCGGCGGAGCCGGCCGAGATTGGCTACGTCAACGGGGCGTACCAGAACGAGACGTTCCCGGCGGCGTTTGTCAACTACGCCAAAATTGTCCTGACGCACTACGCCGACCGCGTGCCCGTCTGGTACACGTACAACGAGCCGCTGCTGTACGCGAACAACGGCAAGTCGATCGACCACGTGATCAAGTCGCACGCCGAGGTGTACCACTTTTACAAGGAGCAGATCAAGGGCACGGGCTTGGTGTCGCTGCGGCTCAACAACAACTTTGGCGTGCCGCGGGACCCGGACAGCGCCGCCGACGTCTACGCCGCCGAGCACTTCAACACGTTCCAGCTCGGGCCCTTTGCGAACCCGCTCTCCTCGGGAA